CAGAAAGTTAAGTACCTTGCTGAATGTTGTTGCACAGCTGCCAGCATTTGGAAAAGCTGGGACGTAACCAATTTTCTACCGACTTCAGCATCTGTGCTCTTAACTGCTGGGGTGCTGACTGTGAGCACAGCTGCTTTCCTAATTTAATTTGTCAGATCATATTGAGATCTGAATTATCAACAGTGACAAGAGTTTTGGCTTATGTTCACCATAGACACACATGTTAGTTTGTTTTTAATAAATAGGTTTGGAATTGATTACACAAATGTTAGGTCCTCAGTGCCACAATCAGAAGCATCAGCTGGAGCATAACCTGTTGTTACCCATGTTTTTGTGAAGTGCGGTTTATCAGAGAAAATGAACAAACAGGCGTAGCTTTGCTCAGTAATTATGCCTAAAGTATTGAAATACCTACCAAGACACGTCAGTGATTTTGATAACAGTGTATATCTGTAATAGTATATGTTTATATTGTCATATTTTCCTTAAGACACATACTATTGTTATCTACTCTTTATTGCATATAAGTGGAAGTATAGATGAGCAGGAAACTTAAAAGGGCTCTAACAAATTGAACTGTTATTATTGAGCAATACATTTAACACTTTCATTGCCTAAGCTATAGATTATTTAAATGTTAACATTTGTAGTTATGAAGTCATGTTAATAACATTTATTGAGTACTTATTATGTGTCAGATACTGTGCTATATGCTTCGTATGCACAGTATTATCTCATTCTTGCAACAATCATGGAAATAAAAGTTATTGTTCCCATTTTATAGAAAAAAACTGAGGTTTAGGGAAGTAAAGAGTTTTTTTTCATGACTACCTAATAATTTGCAAAGACATTAAATTAACTCACTTTTATTATGGAACCACTGTCAGTTATTTATATTCTTCATTATTTCCTTTCTCTATCTTTTTTCCCTCAGAGTCGAGGAGAGTTTTAAGACACTGTTCTGGGCTATATTTGGACTTTCTGAAGTGAAATCAGTAGTCATCAACTATAATCACAAGTTCATTGAAAACATCGGTTATGTTCTTTATGGCGTCTATAACGTTACAATGGTCATTGTTTTGCTAAACATGTTAATTGCAATGATCAACAGTTCATTCCAGGAGATTGAGGTATAATGTCTATACCTTTGTGTACTCTGTGCCTACATGTTTTAACTGTTGTGTACTCTGTGCCTACATGTTTTAACTCAGCAATGGTGATGAAAATCTAGACTTCTTTCCCTCCTTTGTTCTTTCCCTGTTTTATATAATTGTTTGACCAGTAAGCTAGTCTTTGCTTCCAAATGTAACATCAGTGGATGTGTTGGGGGAGTAAGACATAAGGAGGAGAAATGCTGTCTGGTTCTTCATTGTTAAAAAATTTAGAACTGCTATATCAGTTTTAATTTATATTTTATTCAAAAATGTATTGCTTATGAATACCACTGCTATCCAAATCTTTTTGTGTTTTTTTTAAATCCTCACTCAAGTATATTTTTTCCATTGATTTAGAGAGAGTGGAAAGGAGGGGGAGTAAGATAGAGAGAGAGAGAGAGAGAGCGAGAGAGAGAGAGAGAGAGAGAGAGAGAGAGAAACATAGATCTGAGAGAGGCATACCAATTGCTTGCCTCCTGCCCTGACCAAGTATGTGACCTTGACCGAGAATCAAACCCGGGACCCTTCAGTGTGTGGGCTGTCGCTCTAACCACCGGTATACTAGTACATAGGCCAGGGTCTCCAAATCTCTTTGAGTGAGGTTCATAATTGGCCTTTTCTCAAATTTAGAATCATTATAAATTTTTATTACAGAAACCTCAGCCTGTGAGTTAATCAAATAAGTCATTTGTTGCAGAATGAAAGAGTGACTAATTTTTATAGTGCTTTTTAGAATGTAGGAAAATACATTTATACATGCCAGTGTATTTATAAACACATGCAGATTTTGAGATCTGTAGTCCTGTTAGCCTGACAAAATTTTAGACATATTTAGGAGAGTGTGTGAGTAGAATCAACCCTTCGAAAAAGTCTTGGAGCAGTCTTTGGGGTCTGGGAGTGTTTGCAGGTGTCATTACTTTAGCGAGGCACAGTGTTGGAGATATCCCAGTGACTGTTTACGCATCTCCTCACCAAACTGTCATGTGTCTTTGTATAGGATGATGCTGATGTGGAATGGAAGTTTGCGAGGGCCAAACTTTGGTTTTCCTACTTTGAGGAGGGCAGAACTCTTCCTGTTCCCTTCAACCTGGTGCCGAGTCCGAAGTCCCTGTTTTATCTCTTACTGAAGCTCAAGAAATGGATTTCTGAGCTGTTCCCATGTCACAAAAAGGGTTTCCAGGAGGATACTGAGATGAACAAGGTAGTTTGACTTGATAATTGTTTATTGTATTTTAAAATGCTGTGGCTATTTAATTTTTTTAAAATATGTTTTGTTTTGTTTTTTAGAGAGAGGAAGGGAAAGGGAGGGAGAGAGGGAGGGGGAGAGAGAGTTTGTGTGTGTGTGTGTGTGAGAGAGAGAGAGAGAGAGCGAGAGAGAGAGAGAGAGAGCGAGAGAGAGAGAGAGAGAGCGAGAGAGAGAGAGAGAGAGAGAGAGAGAGAGAGAGACATTAATTGGCTGCCTCCTTTACGCCCCCGGATGGAGCATACAACCTGGGCACGTTCCCTGACTGGGAATCGAACCACTGACTGCCTGGTGCATGGGTTGATGCTCAACCAGCTGAGCCACAATGGCCCAAGCAAATACTATGGCTGTTACAACTACTGTAAAAAGAAGCAGTCCATTATAAGATGCCCATTTATTCCTTATGTAGTCAGTTAGCTCAGCGTGGTCCTTTGGCTTATGTCTGTTTAACAGGAGCACATCGGACATGTCCTACTTAAAACAATATAAGAAAACTTCATGAAATGTGACTAAAATAATGTAATCCATTATTGGGAGCAGATACTGAAAGGGAGAGCTTTTTTGGGGCCCATTTTTGCACTTGTGGCCATTTGTCTCTCACCTCACTTTCAATTTATACAGCTAGGCAAAGCATCAGTAGCTGATTATGACTTGGGGGAATTTGACTCTTAAGTAACTTCTACATTGGAAAGTTCAGAAATCAACAGCTCACCTGCATTATGGGAGACTAGGCTTGCAGTAAGTAGTTGAGGAAAGAAAGATGTAAGGGTACTAATTGGAAACAAGAATCCCATGAGACAATGCAATCTCAAGAAACCATAAAAGAGGTATATTGCTTGGATGAAGGGCTAGGAGGATCACAGTATGTTCAGAAATGTTTAGAGCACATGTGGAATGTTGTATATAATTGTGTGTGTCAGTGGAGGGGCGCGGGTTACTCCACGCAAAAACCCCTGCTGGGTGCAGAACTCTACATCCTGGAGGACTAGAGGCATCCAGAGGAGGAGTACCTGGATGGGGACAGGTGTGGATAAGATGTCAGATGATGGGGGATTCAAGGAACTGGCTATTTCACTGGAAGAAGGAGTACTGAAGGGGAACATGAATATCTTTTGAATTCTCACTTTTGACTCGGAAGTACATTTGTTTTGTTTCTGTCCCTTCAGAAATAGGAAGAGAGGCAATAGATGATAGTTGCAAATAGTTCAATTTCAGGTCTATGTAAAAACAAACTTGTAACAAAATCTGCCCCAAAGGGTGGTAGGCTGTCTTATGAAGAAATAAGCCTCCTATCACTGAAAGTAATCAATATGCTGGACGGCCGACATTAGAATACATATAGATCTTCCTACACTGGTGGTCAGTTAAGCCAGATGCCTACAAGGTCCTTGCAATTATAAGATTTTGTCATTGAATAAAAAGAAAACATTCTAATTCCTGCTCCATTTGCTACTTGGGGTTCTCAAGTGAATAATGACCTCTCTGAGCTCTAGTTTTACCAATGGCACTATGGGAATAAAGGTTATAGCTACATTACGAAGATCAAATCAAGTCAGTATGCAAAAGTGCTTTGAGAATGCCAAAGCCCTTTTTAAGTATCATTACTTTTACGATTATTTTGTGTTAGAATTTTGGAAAAATATGCCATTTATGCCATTTTTCCAGGTGTATAACATAGAACTTAATGGGTTGAGTAGCAAAAACTTTCCTTACTTAATAACATTGTGGTTAGAGCTGCGATCTGAGAGAATTCCATGTGCAAAGGACATATCTAAGCACTTACCAAAGGGAAGACACCAATAAGAGTATTTTTCTCCCATTGAAATCTGCTAGAGGGTTAGCCCAGACGGCCTTTAAAATGTGGAATAAAGAAAGAGTAAAATTGGCTTTGTAATCCTAAACGTACAATTAGCAATTATGCTCATTTTATTATCTCTCTTTAAAAGAGAAATGAAGAAAAGAAATTTGAGATTTTGGGGAGTCATGAAGACCTTTCAAAATTATCACTTGACAGAAAACAGGTAAGATCCCCTTTAAAAGTATGAAGTCATGCATAGGCTTATCCTTTCAGAGAAAAGAATAAATGTTCAGAAGCAATTTAAGAAACAAACATTAGACACATTGAAGAATTTAACAATGCCCAAAGAATCTGCTACCGAGAGCTGGAAATAAAGCTATGTTCAGATAATCAGCAAAAGGAATGATGTGCTTATTTAAGATATATTAGACACATATTTCTTATGGATGATGGGATATAGGAATGATGGAAAGGAGGAGAAAGTAGAAACAGAGGAAGCCATCAGGGACCGATGGAGATGGGATTAAACTAGCGGCAGCTCAGGTGGAGGGGATGCACAGCCAGGAGAGCCTCCGTGTTTGTCAGTAATCCAGAAGCTGTCGAAAAAGGCACCATGAGAATTCAGTGGCTGCTGTTGATGGCACAGTTCACAGTGAGCAATGTGCCTCAGACATGTGCTCCCCAGTTTGGAGTGGCAGAACCCCCAATGATGGGAACCTTTGCTTCCTTCTTATAGCGTGCCTATAGAGGTACAAGAAATGGCTTATTGATACAGGGAAATTATACATGAGTTAATTAGGGCAAGGTCAGTGTATCAGGAGGATTTGCATTCAGTTGGACATAAAAAACCAAATCATGGTATTTTACAAGACAGTTGTTTCCCCTCCCACTTAACTCTCCAGGGGTGGGCGCTACAGGGCTGGTGCTGGGTCTCAGTGATTTTTTTGGACTTTTTTGAGGTAGTGAGATGCAAGATGGCAGTTTCACTTCCAGCCATCACACCCACTTTTAGACGCGAAGAAGGAATAAGGGCAGAGGAAAAGTGGGCCATGCCAGCTGACTGCCACCGCTCTCAGAAGTGCCCCCAGTGATTCCTGTTGTTATAGCTCATTAGCCAGAACTATGCTACAGAGTCACTCCAGGGGACACAAATGCCGAAGAGGGAGGCTTTTCTGTTTTGTTTATACATTATGTTTCCTCCGCTGACACAGTAAGAATATCCATAAGTATTGATAGAGTAAGAACATTGAACTAAGTACTTAGAAGATTGGGATCTCATCACGTCTCTGCCTTTTTGGCAATTCATTTAACGTCTATAAACTTCAGTTTCCTCATCTGTAAAATAGGGATGATCAAGTTATACAAACCCATCACACAAGGCTGTTAGGGAGATTACGATGGTACTTTGTAAATTACAAACACTATGCAAGCGTAAAGTACTTGTCATAGAGAAGTGGCTCTTTTGGTTATTTGGGTATAAATAATTCAATACATATTTTGCAAAAACCAGGTCAGTGTAAGTTTGATTTTACAGTTTTCCTATAAGAAACTACTTGTGCTAAAATTAAGATGAATACATGACACCCCAAATCATCAGACACATATGAGAAAAATTCAAGGGGAATCAAATGCCTTTGTTTATGATAGAAATTATAGTATCTCTCAAATCAAATGATATTATTTAGTATCTCCAAAAATCTAGAAAATTAAATTTTATTGTAATAACCTGAAAATACATTTTATATATATTTAAAGATGTGTATTTTTATTTTTTATTTATCTTCATTGTTGAAAGTACTATAGATGTCCCCTTTAATTTCCCCATTGACCCCGTCCATCCTGATCCCACTCTCTTCCTAGACCTTCACCTCACTTGTCTATATCCATGGGTTATGTCTATCTATAATAATAAAAGTGTAATATGTTAATTAGACCAGACATCTATACAGACGTCCTTCCTTCCAGACAAAGCCGCAGCGGGCGGGGGCAGGGGGCGGCAGATGGGGGCAGGGGGCCAAGGCCCTTGCATGAATTTTGTGTATTGGGCCTCTAGTATGCATATAAAATTCTTTGGTTACTCTCTTCCCAAACCTCCCCTACCTTTCCCTCTGAAATATGTCAGTCTGTTGCATGCTTCAATATCTCTGGTTCTATTTTGTTTATCAGTTTCTTTGCTCATTAAATTCCATATGTAAGTGAGATCATGTGATATTTATCTTTCTATAACTGGCTTATTCACTTAGCATAGTGAAATCTAGGTTCCTCCATGCTGTCTCAAAGGGTAAGAGATCCTTCTTTTTTACAGTTGCATAGTATTCCATTGTGTTTATGTATCAGAATTTATTTTTTTATTATTCATTCATCTACTGAGGGGTACTTAGGCTGTTTCCGGACCTTAGCTTTTGTAAATAATGCTGCTACGAATGTTTTATATCTTTTAAACAAGGCTTGGGTCACCTTATACTTTCCAATAGCACATATTTTAATCCTAGATTGAAACAAACTCTTTAAGAGCAATGCTAAGCATGTGGTATCTGACCCTGGTGTGGATTAACAACATGTTGATTCCAATATCAGTTAGTCATCTAGAGATTCTTTTGTGTAACTGTTTATTATGGGAACCATGGAGATGTGCCACTCATCCCTTCTTGCAGGAGAGAGCTGCTCCAAGTGTGGTCAGCTGACAGCCTCCAGTGCAGCCTCTTTGGGACCCCCTTCAGCATTCCCCGGTCCTGGGCATGCTCTTCCAGTCCTGGGCATCTGTGGTCATCACAGGACGCCTTTGGGAGCAGTCTTAGAACTGCGCTCCCTGTTGGGCTGGCTGACTTTCCCAGACAATCTGTTTACCTTCCCTCTTTCCCAGTGGAGCTGAGTCTCACAGTCTGGAAGCTTTTCTGTCTTCTCTGGCTCCCACTCCCCATTATCTCTCACAGGCATAATTCTAAAACATTTCACCCTTCTAACTTCGTCCTCAAGTTTGATTCCTGGGGGACCAAATCAACACAGTGTGTAATATATTTGCCCTTGCCGTGTAAGCTTGTGATGAACTGAAGTTGAGGCACATTTTCCATAGCTTGCTTTTTTGTGATACATGAACAATACATCTTCCTGAGAAAATGTTTTTTTTAAAGCAACTATGTATAGTTCCAAACATGTTTGCCTATTGCTGCCTAGTTGGACTCTGATATGTGCTGAGAAAAACTCTCATGGTTCTTTCTTCCTTACTCAGTTCACGTGGCTTTTGCTTATTCTTTTTCATGAGGTCTCCATCTGAAATGACAGAGTTTGTATTTCACTCGGTTCTTCTTTTTGAGTCCTTGAAGGTTAAGGTGGTTAGGTTGCTCAAACGCGCCCTTCACATCTGCTTCAAGTACACCATGGACATCAGTAAGATGAGCCCTATAGATACAGTCAAACCTCGTTTCTCGAACGTCTCCCATCTCAGATAATTCGGTTCTCCACCAAGTTGTTCACAGAAAATATCTTTCAGTTGTGGACCAAAACTTCAGTTTTCAACCTGACAAGCCTTTCATGCTGACACCTCAGCATGACAAAAAGCGTCTCTCAGGCAACAGACAAAGGAGAGACTGCTTTTGTTGCAGTGAAATCCAATGATTAGCACGATTTGAAAACATAAAGAGCGTTAATATTGCTAAGGGTGTGAAGTGCTCACAAAATAACAAACACAGGTAATTGAATAGGTGGAAAAACTATTGTTGATTGGATAAATGAAAAGCAGGTAGCCAGTAATAGCATTTTGGAGGTAGTGAGATACGAAAAAATTGTTTAAGGCTAATAGGGGGTGCTACCTCAAAGACACATCAGGATTTTGAACATTAAAAGAAGTGTTTATTTCTAGATTAAACAGTACATTAGACATGTACTATATAATAGAAAGGTTAAAGCAGGAAATCATTTGAAGGTCTGGAATGGATTAATGCAATTTACATTATTTCTAACGGGGGAAAAATGATTCAGTTTTCAAACAAATCACTTCTCCAACAGCCTTCCAGACTGAATTAAGTTCAAGAACCCAGATCTCACTATATACTTTTTGAAACAAAGTAAGCAGACCTGTTAGTTATTTTTGACCATATCCTCTTTTAGGTCACTGACGTCGGCGGTTGCTGGCATGAGGGTTTCAGATATGCATTCTGAGAGGATGCCGTAAATTAAAAGCTGATCCCTGCCACGCTGTGTTACATGTGTAACCTGAAATGCCAGGAAGCTTCTTGAATAGCTGCTGTGCTCTAGCTCCAGAGCAGATCACTTTCCAGTTGTCACTTTCAGGGTAGGTGTTTACACCTGTGCAGTCAGCAACACGGAGCAGACATGCAGGTGTTGACACCTGTGCAGTCAGCAACACAGAGCAGACATGCAGGTGTTTACACCTGTGCAGTCAGAAACACGGAGCAGACATGCAGGTGTTTACACCTGTGCAGTCAGCAACACGGAGCAGACATGCAGGTGTTTACACCTGTGCAGTCAGCAACACGGAGCAGGCATGCAGGTGTTTACACCTGTGCAGCCAGCAACACGGAGCAGACATGCAGGTGTTTACACCAGTGTAGCCAGCAACATGGGACAGACATGCAGGTGTGTACACCGTGTGCATCAGTCCACATGCAGCACAGACATGCTGTTTTAGCGTTATTGATCTGTTTATGCTGGGCTGAGTGAGACGTGGCAATGTTAAGAAATCAGTTACATGTCCAGGAACTCTATCCTTGAACTTTTAACAAGTCAGAGGCTATCTTTTGTTGTTGTTGTTAACCCTTACCTGAGGATTTTTTCCCCCCATTGATTTTTAGAGAGAGTGGAAGGGCGGGGGAGAGACAGAGAGGAAGAAACATCAATGTAAGGGAGACACATTGATTGGTTGCCCTCACAGGAACCCATACAGGGCCGGGGATGCAGCCTGCAACCAAGGCACATGCCCTTCACCTGAATCAAAA